CCAGCAATCCCCCTTTTGAGAATATACCCAGAGGAACTCAAATTATTCTATAAAAAAGATACCTGCATATGCACATTTATTGCACCATTGTTCATAATATCAAAACATGGAAACAACTGTGCTGCCCATTGAAAGTGGACTGGATAAAGAAAATGTGGTATATATACATGATGGAATATCATGCAGCCATAAAGGACAAAATTTTGAACTTCATAGCAACTTGGATGGATTTAGAGTCTGTAATACTCAGTGATCTATCACAGAAACAAAGAACTGAGTACCACATATTCTCAGTCATAAGTAGACTCTGAAAATTTTTAATAATATTATAAGAAAGGAACTGGCAGTTAGTGGTAAACTGTCAGGGGAGGGAAGGGGAATCATAACATCAATAAGGGTGCCTGATCTCAAGGCAAAGAGAGGCCAAACTTTGCCTATATTATGACCACTTATATACCTAACCCTGAATTGTACTGCACATCTGTTAAAAAAAAAAAAAAAGTGTCCAAAATGACACAACTAGTAAGTAACAGCTGGGATGCAAAACACAGACAACTTAGCTCCACTTTCCTCTTAGCACTCCACTCTACTGTCTTGGCCATAACTCATTCAACAATATGTTAACACAGATCATAAGGCTTATCTGAAGCATAATTATCATTGGCAGATAGAAATTTTAAAAAGACTTCACTATTGTACTGATAGTATAATGACATAGCATAGGCTTGCATTTCCTGTTATAGAACACTAGAATATGATCTCTGCTTTACAATCATCTTACTGAGACCACACTGTATGAGGTACTAAAAAATATTTGAATTTCCAGAAATATAAAATACGCCTGAGAGCCGGGCTCGGTGGCTCAGCCTGTAATCCCACGCCTTTGGGAGACTGAGGTGAGTGGATTGCCTGAGCCTGGGGATTCGAGACCTGCCCAGGCAGCAAGACCTCATCTCCACAATAAATCAAAAAATCAGCCGGGCGTGGTAGCGCATGCCTATAATTCCAGCTACTCGGAAGGCTGAGGCGGAAGGATCGCTGGAGCCCAGCAGGTCGAGGCTGCGGCAGCCAGGAGCGGCCACTGCACTCCAGTCTGGGTGACAGAGTGAGACTCCAACTCAAAAAAAAAATGCACCTGAAAAATAGAAATCATATTGCTACCTCCAGCAGATTATTAGGTCATGTATTAAAAATAAAAAGAAGAAAATAAAATTAACTTGTAATCCAAATACCCTGTGCAATATTCTGATGGTCAGTTCAGCTTTTCTTCATATTCAAATCCCCCTCAAATTGTATCTTACCCAGATACTGTTTTGTTTTGTTTAATTTTAAAGCAAAGTTTGTTAGAGAAGAGGAAAAAGAAAGGGAAACATGCCAGAGCTGGCATGGGTGAAAGAAACTGCCCTAGATGCTCTTTTGTCACTTGCTTCTTTCTCGGTTTATCCTATACAATCTTTTCCATACCATAATACCTAAGAATATTAATAATATTCTTAACAACCTCATTTTTAATTGCATGATTATCCTTTACATTGTTGTTATAAATTCTATTCAACTGATTTATTGTTGTTGGAAATTTAACTTGTTTACCTTTTTTTTTGCTATCATAATCAGTGAAGCAGTATTCAATATTGAAAATATATTATTGCATTTTCTCTGTAATTATCTACTGAAAATAAATTTTCAGGAATAGAATTGCTGGTACAAAGACTTTGACTTTGGACTTTTGTCTAAAATGCCCTTAAAAAGCTTATACCAAGTTACACAGTATTAGTATGAGCATGCCTGATTCCTTTCATTCTCACCAGTGCTGCATTTTGTATTTTAAAATTGCCTTTACCAGTTTGACAAGTGGAAATGGTATCTCATCTTAACTCGTATGCCATAATACATATATACATTTTGCAGCTTTATGGGGTCCTTTTATTAATTATTACACATTACTAATTAAATACCTCATCATAGTCAGAATTCACTTTAGGATAAGCTTTCACTGCCAGCTTTCATCTTGCCAGGCCTATAAGCAGACATATAACTATCTTTTTAATACTAGCCTCTGTGTTCAGAAATGATATTAGAAGTCTATCTTTTTTTTTTCTAAGAGTAGAACTTGCCTGTGGTGTGAATTTTTGTCTCCTGTCTCTTGATGGTATTCATTTAGCCAAGCCATAGTTGAAATCAGAGGCCATTTCTTATTGAGTTTTTTATTCCTTGCATGGGCATCTAATATTTTGAATGGGGGGATAGTGGATGGATGAGTGGATAGACCAACAAACAAACGAACCAACATGCATTTAAAGTTTACTAGGAAAGTTATATAGTGCACGGAAAGGCAACATATTGTGGTCTAAGTTAAAAGAACCAGTCTCTAATTCTATAGTGGTCTAATTACTCACTTGTTTTTGTTTTCCTTGAGAATCTTCATCTCCCTGTGCCTCAGGCTCCAGTGTCCTTAATAAAATTGCTCTTCCTAAGCCTTCTCATTGCCGTTACCTTACTTCAGTTTTTTTCCACCTCATTCCTAAACCACTGCAAATTCTTCCTTACTGCCAGCTGTGCTGCTCTTTCCTGCAGCCTGTCCCTTACATCACCATCTGATTAATCATTCTGCAGTACCGTATTTTTATGTCTTTCCTCTGTTGGTAGGTTTTTATCAGTTCGCCTTGGTCTGTAGGATAAGTCCAGCCCCCTTAGTTTTCCAGTGCTCATCTTTCAGCCTTTGTTTATAGCATTCTCTTCTCCAAGTCTGCTGGCTTCTTCCTTTTGCCTTATTCAAGCCCCACCTTTACTTAGACACTGGGCTTCATTCTTTCCTCTTCATGAAGGTTTCTCTTACACCCTGTCGCCTTTGCTCATTGTACAGCGGTTTTTGGTGTAGATCCAGGAAAACCTGGGTGTTTGTGACAATATGTCCACTGTACTGAGTGAGTGCAGGGGAACCAAGATTCTGCCTCTTCTGTTATGCATGCTGAGGTTTTAAGATTTCCCTTGAAAGTTTCCTTCTTTGGCAGTATCATTTATGGACTGTATTTTTACTTTTTTCAAAAGCATGTGTACCCTTTTAAGTTTTGAGTTACTTGGAGACAGGGACCATAGCTTGAAATTTTTTGTCTCTTTCTTTCTGTCTTGCTCAAGAAATATTTATTGTTAACTTTATGAATTAATATTTTTTTCTGCCCAACTCACAGAGGATTGTGAAACTAAAATAAGGAAAAGACACTGTGAAAAGTAATGTCATTTTAAGTAACTGTTACTCCCTTCAGAGTGTTACTTTTGAGTGAGAATTTGTTGGAAACTGAAATTTTTCCTATACTTTAATTTATTTTATTCAACAAATAGTTGAAAAATTTCTAAGTATTAAAATTTGATAAGTTAAAGTCTATTCACACAGACCAGTAGAAATAAAAACATGTGAACTCACAAATTTGTATTATGTACAGTTTTAGAACTTTGTCCAAGTATACCAGTGGGACAAAGAAGGCACAAACAACTGTTGGTAGGTTAGCCAGGGAGTGTTTTTCCTTTAAGAAGCATCTTTGTGGGTAGAAGTCAGAAGATGCGCAGAGCACAGAAGTACCTTCTAGTCAAATGGGAGTAGAATATAAAAAGCACAAAGACACAAAACAAGATATTGGGAACTATTATTCTGTAGAGCTAGAGCATAAAAGTGGCTGAAATTGTAGATAAGCTGGACCTGAGCTATCCAGGATGTGGCCACTAGCCACAGCTAGCTATTACATTTAAATTAATTAAAACTAAAAATGCATTTATTTTGTCATATTACCACAATTCAGGAGCACATTAGGCACATGTGGCTAGTGGCCACCGTATTGGGCAGCACAGACTTAGAACATTTTCGTTGTCATAGGAAGTTCTGTTGGACGGGGCTGAGCTAGCCTTGTGAACTTAATTAAAGAATTAGACTTTTGTCTTATAGGCAGTTACTATCCTTTGAAGAGCCTGAAACAGGGGAGTAACATGATCAGATTGCATTTTTAAAAGACTTTCAAACTTAAAATATCAGTTCTCGAGAACGTAGTATTAGAATCAGTTCTCAAGAACAGTTTTAGAATCAGTCAGACATTTTCATCTAGCATATAGCTTTTGCTGACAACGTATAATTAGGAGACTGTACCCTTAATTAGTTAGAGTTGAGAATAAAATAGAGAAAGAATTTTTTGTTTGTTAGTTTTTGAGTTGGAGTCTCACTCCGTCACCTAGGTTGGAGTACAGTGGCGTGCTTATGGCCACTGCAGTGTCAACCTGCTGGGCTCAGGTGATCCTTCTACCTCAGCCTTCCAAGTAGCCGTAACTACAGGTGCGTGCTACCACGCCTGGCTAATTCTTTTTTTTTTTTTTAATTGTAGAGACAAGGTCTCACCATGTTGCCCAGACTGGTCTCGAACAGGCTCAGGCACAATCCTCTTGCCTCAGCCTCCTATAGTGCTGGGATTACAGGCTTGAGCCATAGCGCCCAGCCAAGAAAGAATTTAAACAACCTTTCAAGATTACTGACTCAGCTGGAGAACTCTTGAAAACTACTGTTTTTTTTTTTTTTTTTGAGTTGGAGTCTCACTCTGTCGCCCAGAGTGGAGTGCAGTGGCCGCTCCTGGCCACCGCAGCCTCGATCTGCTGGGCTCCAGCGATCCTTCCTCCTCACTCTTCCAAGTAGCCTATTTTTAAATATTAATTTAGAAAAATGTTTCTTCACCTTTTTCTTTTAGTGAAATTACTGGATGATAAATGTTAGTGATAATGTTATCTGCTAAAAATTTTCAAAAACTATTGTACAAGATATTTATATCCTTATTTTCTTATAGGATTTGCTGTTATGTTTTGAAAGCTAAGACTAATAACTGCCATGACTTGATAAATAGAATTGTTATACATTTATTAAAGTAATTTAATTAGATATACTAACAAAATAAAAATGTTGCTTTTAATATCTTGAATTAAGTGTTCCTGCACATTTGCTAATTTGGGCCTTTTTTTTTTTACAGTTAACTCAGTATCCTCTCCAGTTGTACTTCCCACACCAGCTCTTCCTCCAAGTTTGATAGCTGATCTTGAAGGTTTAAACATGTCAGCTTCCTCATCAGTCATCAATGTAAGTTATGTTTAAAATATGCTAGCTCGGTTATTATATGATGCCTTTGCATCTTTTTACTTAAGATGCAAATAATTGAAGTAGAGTCTTAGTCTTGAATAGATTCTTCTAAAGAGCAAGTCCAATTAAGTTAAGACCTTTTAATTTTGTAAATAGTTTTTAAATTTACTCTGCTCAAACCATTATCTTCTCAATTTACTTTTGCTTGTTTTCCACACTTTATTATGATGTGTACATTTTTTCTCTGGTTCTGTAACATACAAGGGTTCTTTGCCACATTGGGGCAGATTATATCCCTAAATTCTGCCATTAAAAAATTGTTGTCTACATTAACAGACTTTCATTTTCATAATCATTCTATTCCTATCACACTGCTTTTTCACCACTGTAGGTTATTAAAAATTCTTGATTATTTTCATTTGAAAGACCAAGATTGTATTTCTCTTTGTCTTATTTTCATACATTTATTTACATGTGTCGGTGTCTTTTTTAAAAAATTATTTAATGTTATTTATAGGTTGTGACATGAAATGAGGTTAGAGGCCTACCTATGACAGAATAATGCCAAAACCATCAACCTCTCATAGTATCTGAAATTTCAGTAACTTTTTTGTGTTTTAGCACATTGTATCCACTAACCTTTTACTCTGAATCAAGCAAGCTGCCTAAGTTCTTAATATGCTTGACATCCTGTTAATTTGTTGTCAGAAATCTGACAAATGAGGGGATAGAAGAGTAAGTGTTGATGGGCACAGGTAGTTTGAATAAATCTGGTTCCCAGGCCTGGCAGGATCCTATGGAGTACATACTTCTTCATCTGAGCTACCAGGAAGCGTAGAACTGCTTCTGCCAAAAGTGGGAAAGAGGAGTGCCTAATTCTTGCATATTTGTACAAAAATAATTCCTCCTTCAAAGCAAGTATGACATCAGGGCCATTTAATGAAATACGAAAAAGAGCTACTTGCATTTTTGTTCAACTTTGGTCACTCACTTAGAAAGCACAGGTGGAAACTGTTAAACTAAAGTTTTCTCTTAAGAATGAGATTCCTAAGCACTCAGAAATGATAAGAATGTTATTTGGGATTTTAGTTTCTTTTTGTTTTAGGAAGCAGGATTTATTGAGAGGACAGAAAAACTCCTACAGTGGTAGGGCCCCCGAAGGGGTTGCCCTAGTTTCTTGTTTCTAAAAAGAAAAGACACATTAAAGGAGATGAGGAAGGAGCATTGAAAATAAGTAGTTAAGTCTCATTTATTCAAGTGATAAATATTTATTAAGCATTTGTGGTAGGATCTAAAGAAGAAAGTATTAATTGGAAAGTCTATAGCAAAGCAATTAGTGGAATAGGAAGCTCCTCAATGGGAGACCCAAACTTCAACTGTAGTATGACACCTTATATACCTAGTTCTGAGTTGTACCCCACATCTTGAAAATAAAAAAAAGTTAAAATACTTGATAGGCAGCAAGGCAGTAAATAAATAATAGTTTGGGCTGTGATGTCATGTCTAGGGTGCGAATCCCTGCTTTGCTACTTACTGCGTGAGCATGGGCAAATCAGCATCTAAATTTCCTGTGAGAATAATCTCTACCTCGTGGGATTGGTGTGAGATTAATGAAATAATGCATGTAAAGCTCTTACAGTGATTGGCACATTGTCGTCACTCAGTAAATATTAACTAATATTTTCTGAAGTGGCATGATGTGTGGTAATGAACTCTGAGTCGACTCTTACTTTATTAGCTGTAAGAAGAATGCAGTTGAGATTAGAAAATCTCATAGTAAATTTTCATTCATCACAAAGTAATTGACTCACCCTTTTATGCTAAGGAAAATATTTATTGGGATAGTCTCTTCAAAGGAAGGAAAAACACTTCATCCAAAGTTGTACAAAAGGACTGCCAAGTGACATGGCTGAGTGAAACAGGAACACAACGCTTACCCCCAAAGATTAACAAAGTGATCAAACAAATGGAGCTAAAAAGAATGGCAGCCAGATATTCACCACAGCAGCCAAATAAGGAAGGGAGTAGAGCATTAAATAAAGAAAAATGTAGAACTTAGAAAAGCAGAACCTATAGAAATAAATGGAATATTTTGGTACAGAAAGGCATGACTCCTAATATCACCTCCAGCTCTCAGAAAAGTCCTGAGAAAAGAAGGTGAATCAACCATGTATTAAGATTTCTCATTATGTGTATGAATTTGGAAAGAAGTAGGCTAAAGACATCAGAGGAAAATAATCAAAAAAATCCTCAAGAATTACAACTCCCATGTAATGTAATAGAATTTCAGCACATATAGGAGCTGTTTTGGATCCTGAAATGAAATTCATATTAATAGAATACATTCATAATTTTTAAGTCAACATGTTCTAGTTGAATAGAAAGGAGAAATCAAAGTAATTTATGATAAGGTAATATTTGCAGTGATCGGTAAATGCTTGACCCTGACTACACTAGAAGATATGGTGAAGTAGTTAAATGATGCTTGCATTCATGTGGAACCGTGAATGCGGTAGCTGTGGATGCAGACTGATATAGGTGTGCTTGTTGTATTGGCAACTCATATATTGTGGGTTGTGATGTTGCCATCAGTGACATAATTTTCCAAACATTTAACAGCTTTTCTGGACAAAGGTAACTATATTCCACATGATAAAATCTTGTTTAAAAAAATTACCTTGGCCATTGCTTGACTAAACTTTGGTGTGGCGATGTGCTCTTGAGCTATGGCTGCTGCCATGTTTTGTAAACTTTGACCCCTTCTCCTACCTTGTAGAGATGAATCTTCTCTCTCTCTCTCTCTCTCTCTCTCTCTCTCTC